CTAGTCAATCTGCTTTGGTTTCATTCAAATGCACAAACAAATGAATGCACTGGGAAACATCCTTCATGTTTGAACTTAAAGTGAAAGCGCTTTCAAAGCAAACAGGACAAAAAGTGCATAAAGTAGAGTTTTATATTTTTTCCCAGCAGTTTAATACATTGGATTACAGATCTACACAAAGCACAGTGTCATAATATTGTGCTTAGTATCCATAGAGACTGAGATGAAGAATGTTGTGGCAGGGAATCCAGGCCAAGCCACAATTCATATAGCTTTAACGTTCCTATGGCTGATGCTTTATTTAGCTCTTTGTGTTTTTTACCAGGCTTTTACCACACTTTGCACCCCAAAAAGAAACTATTAATTGTTTTTGTTTACGTTGTCATGATGTCCACTGGTATGGAAACAGATTTCACACAGAAATTGCTAGGAAATGTCACAAATAATTAGAAACAAACTGCAAGCAACACATTAAATTAATGTGAAATGTGAAATTTTGAAGTAGAAAGACTGAATTTGTATTTTCTTGCAATCCAGTGCTGTAGTAATCTTTGTTTGAAAAATATGTTTACAGTGTATTGGGGAAAAGGCATCTGGAGCCCTTTGGAACATTAAAAGATATAGTTAAGTGATACAGTATAGCTTTTAATGTTCCAAGTGTTTTTTTTTTTTAATTGACCTATACCTTTAGTCTCGTTTGCTATATCTATGATGATTTCTGTACTATGCAGTTAATTTAAATAGCCCTGTGGTGTGAGAAATGTATTTTTAAAACTACGAATATATATATTAAAGTTAAAATGTTGCTTTTTGCGAGTATAGCATGTCACACTGCTATTTAACACAGTCCACTACCGCTAAAATAAATTTGACATATATTTGCCCATTTGCAAATTACATTACCTAATCTTTACTATTATGATAACAATTTACAATAATGTTCCATTTCCATTTGTTAACATTAGGTAACTACATTTGTTAACCTGAACTAACAATGAAAAATAATTGTAACGCATATATTAATCTTAGTTAGGCTAATATTAATTTCAACATTTACTTGTGCATTAAAAGTTAATATCTGTTAACATTATTTAATGGACCTGAGCTGACATGAACTAACAGTTGTATTTTTATTTACTAATGTTTAAAAAGATGAATAAATACTGTAACAAATGTATTGCTCGTTGTTAGATTATGTTAGTTAAATGTTAACTGATGGGACCTTATGGTAAAGTGTTACCACTATTATAAATATTGTTTTTCAATACTTTTGGTGATGTCAGTTTGCATACTGGTGGATTATGTTTATGAGAACAAAGATGAGGGAGGAGTCTTATTATTGTTTAGGTAATTTGGGGTATTTGCAAAGGGATTGTTTTCCACCAGACCTATGCCACAGTCTCCATAACCTCCCTATATCAAATCCACCTAGTAACAACTTGTAGCAATTTTGCTATTGGCTGCCTGTTATTTTGGAGGCTGTGCTGGTGTCTGTGGTGACAGTGCATTTAAGGTTACTGGTCGTTTTCTTTCGATATTAAACGCATTGGACCTGAGAGCCGAAGCATACTCTTCTTAAAACTCTGGACTAAATCATCAAAAATGAGAGCACTCATCACTTTTGCCCTGTTCTGTGTGCTGTACGTCACTGTACAAGGGAAAACATGTAAGTAATTCATAATGAATATGTAAATACTGTATGGTTTGTTTACTGTGTTGTGTTACTCTGTTGATTATTTCTGGTATGCATGAGAAGTTTCCCTCAGGAATTATCTAAGTACATAGATTTAAGTGCTAGCCTGTGTCTGTATCTATAGTAAAGTGATTTAATCAATATTTTTAAGGGTTGTTTCCTAGCATAAATTTGAAATTGTTTAAAAACAGTGCGTCATGTCACTTAAAGTAGTTTAATTTGTATTTAGAACCAAAGTTAGGTCTTATTGTAATTGAAAAGCCACAGTTTAAACATATTAATAGTCTTTATTTCATGGGCTTACAACTACAGTGACTAACATTGAGAAACATAATAAATCATCATTTGTATGTTACCTGCTGCTAAACACATTGTTTTTCTTTTTTATTAATTGCATAATCTGTTTTTCTGCGTGTGAGTGAGGAATTCTGATGCTATTTGTCTTTTGTTGGGGAAAATTCATGAATCGGAAAGCATTTCCCTCCCAGTTTCCTTTGTCTAGAGTCAAAAAGGATGAAATGCATTTTTATTTTTGTTATGTTTATCATATTTGAAATGTGTGTTACGATAATATTGATTTCCATGTTATCTTTGTAAACCAATATTTTCAATTCTATACTTTCAGCCAGTCCCAAGGTCCAGGTGTACAGCCATTTTCCTGGAGAGTATGGAAAGGAGAACACCCTAATCTGCCATGTCAGTGGCTTCCACCCTCCTGATATCACCATTGAACTGCTGAAGGATGGCGAGATTCTCCCAAATACCCAGCAGACTGACCTGGCCTTCGAAAAGGGCTGGCAGTTTCACCTTACCAAGAGCGTCACTTTCAAACCAGAGAGAGGACAGAACTACGCCTGCAGTGTTCGACACATGGCCAATAAAAATGTCTACTCTTGGGGTGAGTGCAATGTGTGTGTTTCTAGAAGATACCTTGTGGTTTGACACGGCATGTTTATTGAAGATCTCATGACTTTCCGCAGAGCCCAACATGTAAAGCTAAAACAGTCAAAGGCGGAGAAAGGATGGTAAGTGTTACCTTGTTTATTATTAATGGAAAAATATAGCCAAATACAAAAAAAAATGTTCTACCATTAAAATGTGGCATTTCAGAATGGTAAAGATGAATAAATGTGTTTTTTTCTTTCTTTCTTTTTCCTTAGGATAATTTCACATGTTTTGGAAATTTTCTATCATCTACAGAAACAAAAAAAATCCTGCTGTTCAATATTACAAACCTGATGTTGCTCAAGAAGCACTATTCATACAGCAATTCCGCAATTCATCGATTTGGGCTTTTTCTTGAGTTACCATCTTTTTCTTCATGAGTGTAAGGATAATTTAACCAAAATAGCTGCTACATGTTTTTGAATAAGTTTTGATCAGTTTCCGGGGTTCTTACACTGTTTCATTCCTCTCTGTGTAACTTCTGTGTAGTTTTCAGTAGTGGGCAATATCTCTGCCTATTTTGGGGCTTTATTTTGTAATTAAATACAAATTTCACAATCAATTCTCTCTTTAAAACAAATAAGACTATTGCAAACTGGGTATTTAATTAATATGGATCATTCAAATTTGACACCTTTCAGAGAAATGTCATTCTAAGTGTCGAAAATAAAGTTTAGAAAACCTAATGGAACAGTTGTGTTTATTTGCTTCAAATAGTCTGTACTAATATGCCTGCATTTTGAAGTTAAATCAACGTTATAGTGAGTTTCAGTTATTTGCCTAACCTAAAACATAAATGTCTGCCTAGCAACTGAGCAACTAAGGTGGTGATTGGATAAAAAAAAAAACAGGCGACAAGTAAGAGTTTCGCTTTTCTATGAGGCCATTAAAAAGGTAAAGTCCTCGAATTTTGCGTTATGTGGCGTTTTTTCCTTTTAGTATATTTCTTTTATGGCCTGAAGTACCAGAAAATATAAGCAGTTTGTTTCGCGCGCTGAGATAAAGTCACATGACTTCCCGAAAACGCTGTGACGGTGACACGCCTCTGATCATGCGCACAAGAGCACAATCTCTGGCACAACTGACATCAAGCGGTCATATTAATAACACAGATCATGCAACCATGAAGCTGAAATACCGTGAATCATACTGCTGAAAATCACCAGCTTTTGTCATTTTAGAGACATTTTGTAAATACATATATGTGTTTAATATCTGAGTGAATTAACTTTTATTGATGCACAGCTGTAGATTGTGTGAATGCACAGTATTAAAAATTAAAATGTATTTGTTTAGAGAATAGGGCGATCATCTACAGTTTGTCAAGTTAAAATATTAATTACATTTCTGTGTCATTGTCTTACTAAAAAGGTATATTAAGACTGATATTGACATTTTTAACAATTTCTGTTTAATTTATATTTTTATTTCCACTGGCTCTTTTAGATAAGCTACTAGCCTAATTATTTTTCACATTTTTTTTGCATTGAAGTCTTCTCTATTGCACATTGTAGAGCTGTAAATGAACTTGATCTCTGATTACAGTGAGAAGGATCGCCAGACCCTTAAAACATCTTTTACAGTTTACAGAGAATTGTCAATCACATATCAACTGTATCAATGTCGATACAACTGTATCATTGTATCAAAAGTCTCTTCACATATCAATTGCTTTTTTAGATTTTATGTTTACTTGTATGTATACTTAATTTTATTATTGCCTTTTATTTTACTATCCATTGTTATATACTAAATTAATAATACAAATGTATAATAAAATAGTTATTAAATAGGTTATTACATTAGTAATAAAATAGTAAATGATACAAGGATGTAATAATTATTTATTAATAAATTATTATTATTATTATTATTAAGTATATAATGTATTAATTTGCTAAATTAATAGCTGGATTGTGTGTGTGTGTGTGCCTACTTAACCATATTTTGGGGACAATTTTGTACCCAAAAGTGAGCAAAACCTGACAAAATCGCCAAAAAAACTCCATTTGGGGACGTCCTCATTTGTAAAACTCGTATAAAAATAAAGTAAACAAAGTTTTTTGAAATTGTAAGAATGCAGAACGTTTACTGTGAGGGGTAGGGGTGGGTTTAGGTTAAAAAGTGTATAACTATCTGTATATAAAAACAAGTCTATGTAATGTTCCCATTTAGATAGCTAAGTAAACGTGTGTGTGTGTTGTTTTGTTTTGTTGTATGGGCTGCAACCTTTCTCACACGAGCAAATACTCTGTTGAGGGTATTAGCCAAATAGTTAAGAGGAAGTAGGTGGGGTTTGGTCATTTCCGTGTTGTAGCAAGAGTTATCAACACAAGAGAGCACTGTAGAGTCATCAGTTCGAGAGGAATGAACCATATAAATCTAGTCCAACTTCACACACCTGTGTCGTCAAGACTAGCGAAACATGTCAGGTAAAATAGACACGCCGACGTTGCTCTTCGACGTCCCGCCGGTGCTGATGGAGTCTTTCTGTAGACTGATTGACAGCGGGGTCGACGGTCTAGGATGGAGAGCTTTAGGTAAAAAAACAAAACGCACTTTACCGTCATAACTGTACGACCGTTACCTGTGTAATGTCCCCATTTAGATAGCTAAGTAAACGTGTGTGTGTGTTGTTGTTTTGTTGTATGGGCTGCAACCTTTCTCACACGAGCAAATACTCTGTTGAGGGTATTAGCCAAATAGTTAAGAGGAAGTATGTGGGGTTTGGTCATTTCCGTGTTGTAGCAAGAGTTATCAACACAAGAGAGCACTGTAGAGTCATCAGTTCGAGAGGAATGAACCATATAAATCTAGTCCAACTTCACACACCTGTGTCGTCAAGACTAGCGAAACATGTCAGGTAAAATAGACACGCCGACGTTGCTCTTCGACGTCCCGCCGGTGCTGATGGAGTCTTTCTGTAGACTGATTGACAGCGGGGTCGACGGTCTAGGATGGAGAGCTTTAGGTAAAAAAACAAAACGCACTTTACCGTCATAACTGTACGACCGTTACCTGTTAAGTAAGTACCTCAACTGTGACTGTCTTATCAATTTGTCTATATTTATTCTCTTTGGGAATGTGTCAAACTTAAATAGCCGCCGGAAAATGCTGTTCAAGCGTCTTTTTTTTACATTGTAGTAATTAGCTGGTCCTGCCAGTACAATATGGTCATTAGTTGGTCCAGACTAGTAATTATCTGATCCAAGATGGTCTACCACCAACAAACCAGCTTCTAGTTTGTTAAGTACACCAAAGGTTGGTTTTCAGAACAAACTAATGATCAGCTTGGACCAGCTAGAAATCCAGGCAGCTTAAGATGGATTTTTTATTATTATTATTATTTATTTTTTTCTCTGTATTGGATCTTATGAGAAACATCGGATATTCATCCCCGTCTGATTCATTACAGCTACTCACATCCTTCCCAGTCAGCTGGAAGTGAGATGTACTGAAATGTATGTGGCTGCTGGGAAAAGTCCGACACAAGAGCTCATGTGGTTGTGGGCCCAGCAGAATAAAACAGTAGGGGATCTTTTGAAGGTTCTGGATGAGATGGGTCACACTCGAGCCAGGAGTCTTTTCCAATCGCAAGGTAACATCTTCATCTTAATCATAAGACTACTACAGTTATTGTAGTCTATAGTGGACAATCATTTGCTTAAGAAAAATAATTTGAAATGGCAAAAAAAATGTATAGTATAATTTATAGTTTTATTAGCGATAGTGTTAAGTAACTAATATATTGGCGGAATGTCTTGTAGGGATTGTTTAGATTTTACTGCCTACACAGCTTCCTCTTTTAAGTCATAGAAGCTTTCTATAGTATATAGCATTATTATAGTTGGAATATATATTTTATTTTAAAGAGGAACCTCTTAAACATAAATATGAAGTGAACTGTAAACTGAAGCAAAACAAAACATGCGATTTAAATAACCACAGCGGTGCATGTAAACCACACTGCAATTTTAACAATCATATCACCCACAAAACCGCAATCCATCAAAAGACAACATATTGTAACGGGGCTGACAAGACGTGTGGACAACAGATGTCCGGATCCATGTGCAAGCTTTTATTAAAGCAGAAGAGGCCAGAAACACAGGCAGGGTCGAACAATGGCAAACAGGTATATGGCGGGCAAGACAAGAATAATCCTAGGGCTAGCGTAGGTCAACGATCGGCGAACAGAATCAAAAGGGCAAGACTAGAGGGGATAAATCCAGGAAAACAGTCAAAGATCAGAAACCGGGAAAACAGACAAGGCAAGGCTGGGCTGGACTGGGCTGGGCTGGGCTGGGAAACTAACGAGGGCTCTGTAAAGTAGCTATCACTGCTTGCGATAAGCGCATACAATACTCGGCAGAGAATGGTTGTTTGAGTGAGTGTTAAATAGTGAGTGAGTAATATGAAACAGCTGTGTGCAATCAGTGCTGTGTGCAATCAGTGCAATGAATGATGGGATATGTAGTCCGGGATGATATGCAACAGTTTGTGTAGTGCGAGAGTCAATGTAATGGAAAGGGTGACCTCTGATGGTAAGCAGACGGAAGTTCATGGACCGGATTCATGACACGTATAATGAAACTGCTAGTGATGTTGCTTTGAAAGCACTGTATAACAAACCGTAACCAAACATATTTGATTTTTTTCTAGACTCATGCAAACTGAAGTCATCCTCACCCCCTCTCTTTGCCACGGTAATGTCTTTTTTGCTGCTGTTATCAACCTGCAGATTTTTAAAGCAGATGCTGGTCAGATGCTTGACTTTATTCTGGTTTAGGTGTGTTAGAAAGCAAGAAGAATGTGCACCCACAAACTGAGCAGTTTTGTTTTTGCTTATTTAGTCACATTGTGTTTATATATTATGTTTTCACATTTCAACTCTATCTGTATTTTTCATTTTCCAATCAGTATCTGCCAAACACTGAGAAGTCCTGTCAAATTTCAGCTCTTTATCCAGAGTCTGTGTCTGTTAAAGGTAATTCGTACAAGCGCATTTAAAATCGACCTTTCTTTGTCTTTGTGTCAGTTGGCATTATTGTACATGTAGCTGTAATTCAGTACTAACCATGTCTTTCTTTGTAGATATTAGGTAGAAAGTTTCATTTCTGTTTTGAGTGGTTTCATAAGGATTTGAGATTAAACCTTTTTTGTCCATTTCAGGTGAAAAACAGAAGTATTTCATCACATATTCTGACGTCAGAGAGGGAACGAGACATTTCCACCAGGACTTAAAAATAGGATCGAGCGTGTGCGCCGAGGTCTACTGCGGAAAATGGGGAAACAGGTCTTTTGTGGTGAAAGTTTTCAAACAGGTCATAATCTATTAATATCTCAAACTATTCCTCAAATCATCTTTTACAACTTGTGTACAGAGCAAGTATTGGCCTAGTGTTAATTTTCACACACCAGTTGGTTTTTTGTTGTTGTTGTTTTTTAGTATTTGTATTTGTATCTGATTACATTTAGTCCACAAGAAAAAAAATAGCTAAAATTATTGTGGATTATTTTAATAATAGGAGCTATTTTTTTCCTGTGGTCTAAATGTAAACATCTTTTATGTAAAATATCTTACTCAGGACAGTACTAAATAAAAAATAACAGGCATTTTGTATGATCTCTCTTATTTTGTTAAAATTATTCACATTTTCACAGATTCTGCAACTTTTGCATGCCACTGTATTATTATTATTATTACATTAATCTGCCATTCTATTATCGTGTGTTCTTTTCTGGCAATTGTTCTATTTTAAATTAATAATAAAATAATTTAATAAAAAATACAAGACAATAATAATAATGTACTAATCATTTACTAAATTGCTGGAAATTATTTTCACTATTTTTAAATTTAAATAATACAATTTTATTTGAATTATTTTAACAGATCTTTTGCTGTGAAAGTTTTTCAACAGGTCCGAACTAATTAATATCTGATTTCACATACACATATCATGATGTTTTGAAAAACACTGATCACATTTTTTATCTTAACAGGAAAACAAAGCTAATTGGAAGGCGTTGTGGGGAAAATTCACCAAAGAAATTGAAGTTCTACAACTGTAGGTTCAGTCTGTGCATGCTTTATCATAATCCAGTGACTTTTCGAATGGTGTTTGTCATTTTGTAATGGCTCTCATTTTTGTCTGCTTAGCTACCAGCATCCTAATATCTTGGAGTTATGGGGCAGCTTTTCAGAGGCAGATCGCTTCTGTTTAGTTTATCCGTACCTTCATAACGGATCATTGTTCCACAGGCTTCATGAGGTAAATCATCTGACAGCAGACTGTAACTTGTTTCATCATAGCAATCTAAAGTTGAAGTTTTCATAGTGCTTACTCTTGCTTTTGTTACAGGAAGTTCAGAGTTCTCTATCATGGCAGGAAAGGCTGAACATCATCAAAGGCACCGCAAAGGCAATCCACCATCTACACACTGCACAACCATGCGTAGTTATTTGTGGAAACATTACGAGGTGCCAGTGTGAAGCCAAATCTACAGATTATAGGTGCCCAGTGAAGATGGTGCATTGAAATGAGCTTGTTTTGTGTTGTGTTCACAGTTCAAACATACTCTTGGATGAGCACCTGCAGCCCAAGTTATCAGATTTTGGATTAGCTCATCTCAGACCGCACTCTGTCGATCAGAGCTGCACTATCGTCATTGATACAGCCTCCCATAGCAACCTTGGCTATCTCTCAGAGGAGTACATCCGCGATGGCAAGCTATCAATCAAACTTGACGTTTATAGCCTTGGGATGGTGAGTGCAGCATCCTGTTTAAAAAAATTATATTCCAGAGCCAGGTACAATTTAAGCTTTATGTCAGCATTTTAATGCCAATGATTCAATTCATTGATTCAGTTAAGTTCAAGCTGCAGATTACTGGCCATTAAAATTTATTTCTCATTTATTACTGGCCTGTCATGAATGGCCCAACATAATTCAAGTTCAATTTTTTTATTAAATTTCTTTACATTTTCCTTTTATGCTTGAAGGTTATATTAGAGACCTGTACAGGACAAAAGGTGAAACAGGAGTCAGCAAAAAATCTGTTTTTGGTAAGAATCATCTTAAGGGAAAAAAAAAAGTTTACTTTAGTAATTAGTTTGTAATTTTTGCTTTTGAAAGCCATACATGCTGTTCTTTCTATCCATCAAATAATGCTAAAAAGAATCTGCCACAGTTCCCACAGAAATATTTTGTGGCAGTACTGTTTTCAAAATGTATATCAAAGTAAAGATTTTACTCAAGCACCAAATCAGTATTAGAATGATTTCTGAAGGATGGTGTGACACTGAAGAATACAGGAGTAATGATGCTGAAAATTCAGCTTTGTTGTCACAGGAATAAATGACATTTTAAATGTATTAAAATAGAAATTGTTTTTAAAACTACTTGTTTTAAATTGTAATATAATTTAATTATCAATATTATCATTATTATTATTATTTATTTTCATTTGTATTTTGTAATTTTATTAATATTTGTGAAATTTTGAGTTCTGTGAATCTGTTAATATGATTCATATTTTAGATTACTATAATTGACTGACTAATGCCATTGCATTTTTTTTTAGAGAGACGTACTGCATTCAGAGTTTGAGGAAAAAAGCTCTGTGGATGCCTGTCTGCGGTTTTTAGATCCCAAAGTTGAGCACTGGCCTACTGCGGTGGCACTTTGTCTGCTTCGAATCGGACTAGAGTGCACAGGCAGCAAAATGCGAGTCAGGCCGAGCATGGAAATGGTTAGTAAATATTCTCATTTATGTAAACATAAATAGACATATCAACTGATAAAAACTTTATTTTATTCCTCTTCAGGTGCTTCAGAGACTAAACCAACTTCTTCCCATGCCTGCACTGCCCGAGGACCAGCCACACACTCTAGATGATACGATCCCTCTTCAGCGGCCATATAATGGCCTTAGTCAGCGTCTAAGCTTTCCCATTGAATTTGATGAAATGTACAGCCCACTGGAGGAACCGCTACCTCCCAGAGTTCCCAATCTGGCAGAGCCCTGCGAGTGCAGCCAGTCTGAGGTCACTTTCTTGAGTGTTGGAGATCCCAACTTGTCGCATTCCCTCAGGGAATGTCTTCAGGAAAATGACAGAGTGGTTTCAGCATCACAAAGTCTGCAGTCAGACTCTGCAGCTTGCCTGGACTTATATGGGAGCTGGCCTGTGGAGTGCAGCTGTAGCACTGGAACCGAAGTGCTGGGATGTGAGGACTGCTGTGCGAATGGCTTCAGTCAGTCTGTTTTATATGTAACTCTAGGCAAGTAGATTCAAGGCAGCATTCACAGCGAAATCTGTCTCGGAAGTGTCAAACGTCATTGTCAGCACAAACTAATTTATGTCCTAGCAGGTTCAGAATTAATATCCAGTATTTTTCTTTTTCAGACGTTGATGACCAGCCCTCTCAGAATAGCATCACGAATCCAGCAAAAGAACCGGGAAAACAGACAAGGCAAGGCTGGGCTGGACTGGGCTGGGCTGGGCTGGGAAACTAACGAGGGCTCTGTAAAGTAGCTATCACTGCTTGCGATAAGCGCATACAATACTCGGCAGAGAATGGTTGTTTGAGTGAGTGTTAAATAGTGAGTGAGTAATATGAAACAGCTGTGTGCAATCAGTGCTGTGTGCAATCAGTGCAATGAATGATGGGATATGTAGTCCGGGATGATATGCAACAGTTTGTGTAGTGCGAGAGTCAATGTAATGGAAAGGGTGACCTCTGATGGTAAGCAGACGGAAGTTCATGGACCGGATTCATGACACGTATAATGAAACTGCTAGTGATGTTGCTTTGAAAGCACTGTATAACAAACCGTAACCAAACATATTTGATTTTTTTCTAGACTCATGCAAACTGAAGTCATCCTCACCCCCTCTCTTTGCCACGGTAATGTCTTTTTTGCTGCTGTTATCAACCTGCAGATTTTTAAAGCAGATGCTGGTCAGATGCTTGACTTTATTCTGGTTTAGGTGTGTTAGAAAGCAAGAAGAATGTGCACCCACAAACTGAGCAGTTTTGTTTTTGCTTATTTAGTCACATTGTGTTTATATATTATGTTTTCACATTTCAACTCTATCTGTATTTTTCATTTTCCAATCAGTATCTGCCAAACACTGAGAAGTCCTGTCAAATTTCAGCTCTTTATCCAGAGTCTGTGTCTGTTAAAGGTAATTCGTACAAGCGCATTTAAAATCGACCTTTCTTTGTCTTTGTGTCAGTTGGCATTATTGTACATGTAGCTGTAATTCAGTACTAACCATGTCTTTCTTTGTAGATATTAGGTAGAAAGTTTCATTTCTGTTTTGAGTGGTTTCATAAGGATTTGAGATTAAACCTTTTTTGTCCATTTCAGGTGAAAAACAGAAGTATTTCATCACATATTCTGACGTCAGAGAGGGAACGAGACATTTCCACCAGGACTTAAAAATAGGATCGAGCGTGTGCGCCGAGGTCTACTGCGGAAAATGGGGAAACAGGTCTTTTGTGGTGAAAGTTTTCAAACAGGTCATAATCTATTAATATCTCAAACTATTCCTCAAATCATCTTTTACAACTTGTGTACAGAGCAAGTATTGGCCTAGTGTTAATTTTCACACACCAGTTGGTTTTTTGTTGTTGTTGTTTTTTAGTATTTGTATTTGTATCTGATTACATTTAGTCCACAAGAAAAAAAATAGCTAAAATTATTGTGGATTATTTTAATAATAGGAGCTATTTTTTTCCTGTGGTCTAAATGTAAACATCTTTTATGTAAAATATCTTACTCAGGACAGTACTAAATAAAAAATAACAGGCATTTTGTATGATCTCTCTTATTTTGTTAAAATTATTCACATTTTCACAGATTCTGCAACTTTTGCATGCCACTGTATTATTATTATTATTACATTAATCTGCCATTCTATTATCGTGTGTTCTTTTCTGGCAATTGTTCTATTTTAAATTAATAATAAAATAATTTAATAAAAAATACAAGACAATAATAATAATGTACTAATCATTTACTAAATTGCTGGAAATTATTTTCACTATTTTTAAATTTAAATAATACAATTTTATTTGAATTATTTTAACAGATCTTTTGCTGTGAAAGTTTTTCAACAGGTCCGAACTAATTAATATCTGATTTCACATACACATATCATGATGTTTTGAAAAACACTGATCACATTTTTTATCTTAACAGGAAAACAAAGCTAATTGGAAGGCGTTGTGGGGAAAATTCACCAAAGAAATTGAAGTTCTACAACTGTAGGTTCAGTCTGTGCATGCTTTATCATAATCCAGTGACTTTTCGAATGGTGTTTGTCATTTTGTAATGGCTCTCATTTTTGTCTGCTTAGCTACCAGCATCCTAATATCTTGGAGTTATGGGGCAGCTTTTCAGAGGCAGATCGCTTCTGTTTAGTTTATCCGTACCTTCATAACGGATCATTGTTCCACAGGCTTCATGAGGTAAATCATCTGACAGCAGACTGTAACTTGTTTCATCATAGCAATCTAAAGTTGAAGTTTTCATAGTGCTTACTCTTGCTTTTGTTACAGGAAGTTCAGAGTTCTCTATCATGGCAGGAAAGGCTGAACATCATCAAAGGCACCGCAAAGGCAATCCACCATCTACACACTGCACAACCATGCGTAGTTATTTGTGGAAACATTACGAGGTGCCAGTGTGAAGCCAAATCTACAGATTATAGGTGCCCAGTGAAGATGGTGCATTGAAATGAGCTTGTTTTGTGTTGTGTTCACAGTTCAAACATACTCTTGGATGAGCACCTGCAGCCCAAGTTATCAGATTTTGGATTAGCTCATCTCAGACCGCACTCTGTCGATCAGAGCTGCACTATCGTCATTGATACAGCCTCCCATAGCAACCTTGGCTATCTCTCAGAGGAGTACATCCGCGATGGCAAGCTATCAATCAAACTTGACGTTTATAGCCTTGGGATGGTGAGTGCAGCATCCTGTTTAAAAAAATTATATTCCAGAGCCAGGTACAATTTAAGCTTTATGTCAGCATTTTAATGCCAATGATTCAATTCATTGATTCAGTTAAGTTCAAGCTGCAGATTACTGGCCATTAAAATTTATTTCTCATTTATTACTGGCCTGTCATGAATGGCCCAACATAATTCAAGTTCAATTTTTTTATTAAATTTCTTTACATTTTCCTTTTATGCTTGAAGGTTATATTAGAGACCTGTACAGGACAAAAGGTGAAACAGGAGTCAGCAAAAAATCTGTTTTTGGTAAGAATCATCTTAAGGGAAAAAAAAAAGTTTACTTTAGTAATTAGTTTGTAATTTTTGCTTTTGAAAGCCATACATGCTGTTCTTTCTATCCATCAAATAATGCTAAAAAGAATCTGCCACAGTTCCCACAGAAATATTTTGTGGCAGTACTGTTTTCAAAATGTATATCAAAGTAAAGATTTTACTCAAGCACCAAATCAGTATTAGAATGATTTCTGAAGGATGGTGTGACACTGAAGAATACAGGAGTAATGATGCTGAAAATTCAGCTTTGTTGTCACAGGAATAAATGACATTTTAAATGTATTAAAATAGAAATTGTTTTTAAAACTACTTGTTTTAAATTGTAATATAATTTAATTATCAATATTATCATTATTATTATTATTTATTTTCATTTGTATTTTGTAATTTTATTAATATTTGTGAAATTTTGAGTTCTGTGAATCTGTTAATATGATTCATATTTTAGATTACTATAATTGACTGACTAATGCCATTGCATTTTTTTTTAGAGAGACGTACTGCATTCAGAGTTTGAGGAAAAAAGCTCTGTGGATGCCTGTCTGCGGTTTTTAGATCCCAAAGTTGAGCACTGGCCTACTGCGGTGGCACTTTGTCTGCTTCGAATCGGACTAGAGTGCACAGGCAGCAAAATGCGAGTCAGGCCGAGCATGGAAATGGTTAGTAAATATTCTCATTTATGTAAACATAAATAGACATATCAACTGATAAAAACTTTATTTTATTCCTCTTCAGGTGCTTCAGAGACTAAACCAACTTCTTCCCATGCCTGCACTGCCCGAGGACCAGCCACACACTCTAGATGATACGATCCCTCTTCAGCGGCCATATAATGGCCTTAGTCAGCGTCTAAGCTTTCCCATTGAATTTGATGAAATGTACAGCCCACTGGAGGAACCGCTACCTCCCAGAGTTCCCAATCTGGCAGAGCCCTGCGAGTGCAGCCAGTCTGAGGTCACTTTCTTGAGTGTTGGAGATCCCAACTTGTCGCATTCCCTCAGGGAATGTCTTCAGGAAAATGACAGAGTGGTTTCAGCATCACAAAGTCTGCAGTCAGACTCTGCAGCTTGCCTGGACTTATATGGGAGCTGGCCTGTGGAGTGCAGCTGTAGCACTGGAACCGAAGTGCTGGGATGTGAGGACTGCTGTGCGAATGGCTTCAGTCAGTCTGTTTTATATGTAACTCTAGGCAAGTAGATTCAAGGCAGCATTCACAGCGAAATCTGTCTCGGAAGTGTCAAACGTCATTGTCAGCACAAACTAATTTATGTCCTAGCAGGTTCAGAATTAATATCCAGTATTTTTCTTTTTCAGACGTTGATGACCAGCCCTCTCAGAATAGCATCACGAATCCAGCAAAAGAGAAAATAAAGAATAAAATTAATCTGTACAACCAGGGGTTAATAAAAACTGAAGAACTTCTTTCGCTTAAATCAGAGTGAATCAGCAAGGTTGGACATCTCGATTAAAAAAAAAAAATCAGCAGTGGGTAGTGTTGATGCTCATTTTGTATAAATGTTTTTTTTTTCTTCTTTTAAACATATTTGAAGATATTTTAACAGTATTTTTTTTACATATTTCAAATGAAAGTAGTTTAGAAATATACATAACTTATTCCTAAACTGAGTTTTTTAAATAAAAAAAATTAAAAAGAAGATTAAAAGTGGATGTGGGTGATGTTACATAAAAATCGTTTCTAAAAGAATATTAAAAATAATATTTTTTTACGCAGACTTACTACTACTGTCACTTTAAGAGGGTGGTGGTCATTTATAGTAGTTCATTTTAACATTACATATTTATAATTCATTAAAAGAGTGATTTTAAAGTCTAAAGATGAGCAGACACCATGTTAAAACATTTCATGTCCTCGCTACCTTATAGTGTCTACAAATCTATCAAGATCTCTATGTTTTAGACAGTGTTGGGGAAAGTTACTTTTAAAAGTAATGCATTACAATATTGCGTTACACCATAAAAAAGTAACTAATTACAGTACTTAGTTACTTTTTATGGAAAGTAATGCGTTACGTTACTTTTGGATTACTTTTTAATTCTGGACGGGGTTTGCTTGTTTGATTTTAAAATAAAAAAGTTCTATTTTTGGCAAATATAAAAGCCTTTTCACACCAAAAGTGAAATGAATAAGCCTCAGGCTGAAGGGAAAGTACATTTACGTCCGTACAGTAGAATGCAGAAGAAGACATTTCAACACACTTCAGCAATAAAAAAAAGACACAAATGTTTGTCTAGAGTAATTTTTTCTTATTAGTACGGTTGAACTGGATCATCGAAGGTCAGAAGCAAAGGCATTGGTTAATAGAATGGGATTAAATACATAAAGGATATTTGTGTTGTTTAACATTTAATTATTGCAGGTTTGCGACATAATTCTGAATTGCATTATTTTTATTCATTTTGAGGAATAATTCATCTGTGTTTTTTTTTGTAAGAGTGAGATGAATTAATGCATATTCATATTTATTTTGAACTACAGTAACATCTTCTGATTTCTCTCAACATGGGGACAGGAGAGCTGTCAATCAATAAATTGAAAAAAAAAGTCACTTGCGTTACTTATTTGAAAAAGTAACTCAGATATTCTCTTGTAAATTAAAAAGTAATGCGTTACTTTACTAGTTACTAGTTTAAAAAGTAATCTGATTACGTAACTTGCGTTACTTGTAATATATTACCCCCCCAACACTGGTTTTAGACGACTCTAGCAAGTATAATTAATTTGTGGAAACAAAAGGGGCTTTTGATATAATTTATGTGCGTACATATTTTAACCACATGAAAATAATGTACAATGTTCGTGACAATAAAAGAACCGAAAGAAATCACAATTCGTGTCTAATTGACCGAGTCTTTTATTTTGGAAAAATCTGATTATTGGGTGATGCAGTAATATCGTCATCTATAATAACCGCGAAATTAAAATCGAAACCCTCCTTTTCTGTGATTAGAGTTCAGGTTAGAATGTCGCCGCGTGAACTTACCCGGACCTGGGTCCATCCATGCTTCAGCCTGTTGTCCTCCCGCTGTTCCTTCCCAAATGAGCCCCCAAATGAGGTGGGGACTCACCTTCTCTCTCACTATCCGAGGCCAGAAGCACGGGCCGCTGACGAGGTCCTGTCGTGGGCCTACTTCTTCGGCGGCCCCCTCCTGGGCTGGCAGGCTGCATAGCCGTGGCCAGCAGGCTGTCAAACCCTGGCCAGTATCTCCCGATCAGCACGGGGACGGGAAGATCCTTCATGACCCCGACTTCCACCGGCCAGGCGCCGGGACACGCTGCGGGACGCTGATGAAGCTTCAATATTTATATTGTCTGCATGTCATGTGCAGGGCTGGGTAAATTATTTTGTGCATTAACTGCATTTGTTATATTGCTGCTTTAGAACTGCTTCATTTTTTAAAACTATGTGCAAACGCTGCAGGTTCCCTGCTGAAAAAAACAGCATATGCTGGTTAGGTAGGTTTTGAAGCATGGTTGCTGGTTTGAGCTGGTTTAAAGCTGGTCCTTAGCTGGTCCTGAGCTGGTTTAAGCTGGTCATGTGCTGGTCCTAAGCTGGTCCTAAGTAACTTGCTCCTGCTCAGGACCAGCACATGACCAGCTAAGGACCAGCTTAAACCTGCTCAAACCAGCAGCCATGCTTCAAAACCTACCTAAAAAGCATATGCTGCTTTTTTCAACAGGGTTGCCACGACCAAATAAAATAATAATTCGTTATAGCTAGCTATCTAGTTGAAAAGACTATCACAACTGTATCACAGTTTTAATTCTCTTTCTTTCATTTTAATACACTTTTATCGAAAAACTATTGAAAGTAGCCATTCTTTCCGTTGAGGGGGGAAGGAGGGGGGGGGGGGGGGGGGGGGGGGGGCACAAGTGTTGTGGGTTAGTAAACGGGTTAATATTGAAAGTAACAATGTTTAGTGATTGTAACGTTAAGAGTTTAAACTGTACACTTTTACAGGTAAAAGTAACTTAAATTTTACGCTGTTACTTGTAAAAGTATCATGCTGTTTCATCTCCTGAAAGAGGGACTAAACTGTTGCAATTGTACGCCATTATTTTCTTCTTTTGCAGTGTTATTAGTGGCTGGTAGCAGGACGTACAAGGTCACAGGCCAATTTCACCTTTGTGATCCATGGTGGAAGGTAACCTGCAGAGTTAACCGTGGCAGGCACAGGTTTTTTACCCTCTGCTCCAGCTATCCCTCCTATAGTCTCCGCACCAATCTGAGATCAGAGGGCCGGTCACTATCTCTTTTTCTTAAAGAGTGTGAGGCAAACCCTCTGTTTGTTAACATGTTTATGGAGTGGTTGCCCAATGACACAGACGTGGAGCCTGTCAATATGCTGGACGTCCTGAAGGATTTTGAAGTTTCAGCACCAGAGCATAAAGCTGTGGCTGAACAGCTCAAATCAAATGTCATTAACTCAGGTTGAACCACACATATCACCTACTTTCATAGCCCTAAAAACTATTTATTTCTTCCATTCAATAATTTCCTGAAGAACCACTCCAACCAATTACAACTAGGCAAAGCAAGAGCTGAATAAACAATGTTTAATGTCCAAAAACACATTGATTCTACAGACATAAAAATATATATATTACATTTTTTTTAATGAAATTATTTAATTGTTAATTACATTTAATAATACATTATTTGAAAATGTTATCAAAATAACATTATAAAATATATTTTATTATTTTTTTTATCATATTTTAATATTATAAGTATTAATTTGTAGTAAATTAATATCTATTACATTTATTTCAAATGGTTGAAAGGTGTATTGTTCACTTGTCATATGAACATCCAGTCATTGATGATACTGAATTAAGTTTCGTACACTCTAGTTACACAAAACAACTCTTGGTTCATTTCATGCCTGACATGACTGTAAGTAATGAGTAATTAGTTACAGTAAGTGATTTTAAAAATTATGTTACTGTGCTTGTCCCTGTTAATTTTGTCCTAAAACACAGTTGCTTGGACACGTGTGAGAGTTGCCAGCATGTACCCTCAAATCATGAAATACTTCCCAACATTGCTGCCAGGCCAGTTTATGGACATAATAAGCACTGGAAAGATGAAAAACACACAGGACACCACTGAAGAAACTCCACAGCAGCAGAGTAACAGACTTATTGGAGAATCTAGAGAAGTTAATTGAGAATGATATTTGGAAGTTGGGCTTCAGCTATGTAAGCGCATAGCTGTAATTATTTTGTTAAAATTATGTTACTGTGCTTGTCCCTGTTAATTTTGTCCTAAAACACAGTTGCTTGGACACGTGTGAGAGTTGCCAGCATGTACCCTCAAATCATGAAATACTTCCCAACATTGCTGCCAGGCCAGTTTATGGTGATAATAAGGACACCACTGAAGAAACTCCACAGCAGCAGAGTAACACAGACTTATTGGAGAATCTAGAGAAGTTAATTGAGAATGATATTTGGAAGTTGGGCTTCAGCTATGTAAGCGCATAGCTGTAATTATTTTGTTGTACATCCTAGAGCTTTCAAGCTTAACTCACCTTGGCACAATCTTTTAGTCTGTTCAGTCTAGCCTGTCGGTCTATTCAATGGCTTTCTTTCTTTAGTCTTTTGCTATTGCTGAAACGTTTTTAATTTTATCCATTGTTTGATATCTTTTTGATTTGACTGGCACTTCAGTGTTATCATATTTTCAACAGATCATGTTTAAAGAATTCCGTATGATCAGATGTGAAGCAAAGATGAAGTCCTTTGAGCTTTGTAATTTGCTCAGAAGAATCCCAGAGGTGCAGCAAAATGCCTTGCAATTGTATGAGAAACTGAAACACCACTGCAGAGAAACTGGAAGCACATACATTGAACAGAAGATGCTGCTGGAGAAGATGCAACAGTGGAAAATTGCATTTGAAGGGGCCTTGTTCCTAACCGAGCAAGAGGTGCTGATAAAGGAGAACAACAATGTAAGCGCATAGCTGTAATTATTTTGTTATTGTACATCCTAGAGCTTTCAAGCTTAACTCACCTTGGCACAATCTTTTAGTCTGTTCAGTCTAGCCTGTCGGTCTATTCAATGGCTTTCTTTCTTTAGTCTTTTGCTATTGCTGAAACGTTTTTAATTTTATCCATTGTTTGATATCTTTTTGATTTGACTGGCACTTCAGTGTTATCATATTTTCAACAGATCATGTTTAAAGAATTCCGTATGATCAGATGTGAAGCAAAGATGAAGTCCTTTGAGTTTTGTAATTTGCTCAGAAGAATCCCAGAGGTGCAGCAAAATGCCTTGCAATTGTATGAGAAACTGAAACACCACTGCAGAGAAACTGGAAGCACAAACATTGAACAGAAGATGCTGCTGGAGAAGATGCAACAGTGGAAAATTGCATTTGAAGGGGCCTTGTTCCTAACCGAGCAAGAGGTGCTGATAAAGGAGAACAACCAGGTGGCACTTCACAGCCTCTTCAGCTACGAAATAGACATTGCTGAATGCTTGAGGGCCCTGGTTGAGGGAGACCCCTGGAAGATCCACTTGGATGTGAGGAAAGTTCTTCAAAGAGCTGCGATGGAGAGACTAACGGGGAAGGCTTGTGACGCAAGAACATCGACCTCAGAACAAAATGACATGGAGCAGGGGGTTGGGTGCAAGCAAAAAGATGAAGCTCAGCCAGGTTCCTCAAGCATGGACCACAATGGAGGAATGGCATCCCACTGCGATTCTTCCCAGTCCCCAGTTTCTGAGACCATCATAAAAGGAGACGACTCATATTTTGACTCAAATGACTCCACCTACTCGGACATTGATCCCTCTACTACAGAGTTAGACCCTTATCAAGTGCGAGCAGCAAAAATTATGTGCGCCATGCAATGATGTGCATGATGTGCTCCTTACTGCTCCTACAGGAAGAGCTGCTTCACTTCTTACTAAGAGAACCGGTTTCACTGCTTATATCGTGCACCAGGTATTGCCAAATTATACAGTATCCAGTACAGACAAATAACATGGATACAATGGACTCCTGCATGATGTTCCTCCTTGTTAATTTGTCTTCTTTGTTCAGGTTTTATGGAGTTTCATGAATGCAAAAAAGGATCAAAGTGGAAATCCACAAGAATGGATGTTCTCGAAGGTGCGGGTGCTGATGGTGGAGGAGGGAAGCCTGGTGTCTGTTCAGATCCTTCACTCCATTCTCAGCATGCTTACCAAACACTCAAAACTCCAGAAGTTCATCATTTTAGGTAAAGGCAAATTGCATGTATGACAGACGATAGAAATAAACAGCTATTGAACTTGATTCATTTGTTTTATGTCTGCAGGAGATGTGCGGCAACTGCCCAGCATCGGGCCTGGAAGCACGCTGTGCGATCTGTTTGAAGGACTCCAGAAGGTCCGTTGGGCCATTGAGATGCGGACCAACCATCGTGCAGAATCTGAGCTCATCGTCAGAAATGCTGTACTGTGAGCAGATAGTTTGTACTCTGAAACTTTAAAGAGCTTTCCAGAAATGTGTGTATATAGCCTCTCCCAGCTTTGGTTCCTTAGTGGTTTGCAGACTGTTGTGTGTGTGTATATGTTTTTATGCAATATGAAAAAATGTTAATGCTAATTCTTGTTTAATAACAATGACCATTATTATACAATTATTATACAGACGGTTTTTGTTATTTCCACAAACTTTCAGCATCTCAGAGATGGGTAAAAGAATGTCTTACCATCCACTGGAGTTTGATGTCATTATTAAAATGACAAATCCCTCCACAGTGCCGTCTGACAAAGGGTTCAGCTTTTGTCCAAATTAGTGAGAAAAATGATGGTAAGTGAGCCGTTTACAACACATTATTGCATGACATGTTATAATTGGAACCTCCTTGTTAATTTGTCTTCTTTGTTCAGGTTTTATGGAGTTTCATGAATGCAAAAAAGGATCAAAGTGGAAATCCACAAGAATGGATGTTCTCGAAGGTGCGGGTGCTGATGGTGGAGGAGGGAAGCCTGGTGTCTGTTCAGATCCTTCACTCCATTCTCAGCATGCTTACCAAACACTCATAACTCCAGAAGTTCATCATTTTAGGTAAAGGCAAATTGCATGTATGACAGACGATAGAAATAAACAGCTATTGAACTTGATTCATTTGTTTTATGTCTGCAGGAGATGTGCGGCAACTGCCCAGCATCTGGCCTGGAAGCACGCTGTGCGATCTGTTTGAAGGACTCCAGAAGGTCCGTTGGGCCATTGAGATGCGGACCAACCATCGTGCAGAATCTGAGCTCATCGTCAGAAATGCTGTACTGTGAGCAGATAGTTTGTACTCTGAAACTTTAAAGAGCTTTCCAGAAATGTGTGTATATAGCCTCTCCCAGCTTTGGTTCCTTAGTGGTTTGCAGACTGTTGTGTGTGTATATGTTTTTATGCAATATGAACAAATGTTAATGCTAATTCTTGTTTAATAACAATGACCATTATTATACAATTATTATACAGACGGTTTTTGTTATTTCCACAAACTTTCAGCATCTCAGAGATGGGTAAAAGAATGTCTTACCATCCACTGGAGTTTGATGCCATTATTAAAATGACAAATCCCTCCACAGTGCCGTCTGACAAAGGGTTCAGCTTTTGTCCAAATTAGTGAGAAAAATGATGGTAAGTGAGCCGTTTACAACACATTATTGCATGACATGTTATAATTGGAATGGCATGAAATGTTTTGCACTCAGGTCATATATGCTACATACTGAAGAATTGTATGTAATTGTTTCCTGATAGATTTATACATTGTGCCTCAGATGCAAAACTAGTTTAGCCAATTGGAAGAGCTTACGTTGCCCATGAAGGAATTACGAATTAAATTATTTGTTGATTACTGTTGGAAAATGTTAAAGTTGTCTCCGCTCTAATGAGCGAATCTGGAATTGAAATATTTATTTGATGTGCATTGTAAATATGTTTTTGTGCTTAGCTCTCGAGGAAGCCATTGAATTCTTACTCGAGAAAGCTCCTGGACTCAAAGATCATAGATCATCACAGATTGTGGCATTTATGAGGTAAGACCTCATTCAAAGATTTGTAAATATAGTGATATTGAGGTTAAGATATTGAGGAAATCTTAAATCACATTAGACAGAATTAATTATTACATTTAATTCATTTTTGTTGCTCAAAGGGAAACATAAAACGTGGAAACAACCATATGTAAACAGTATGTTGCTCACTGATGAGGATTTTTAACACTGATCATCACTGCTCCAATTTCAAACACCCAATTTGGCTCACTTTGTTATTGCCTACAACTAAAAACTTGCATCACAACTAAGTGTAATTGGTCCTAAATGAGTGAGCTGTATGGTAACCTAGAATTATTGCTTTTGCTTACAGGAAGGACTGTCATGATGTTCCTCCTTGTTAATTTGTCTTCTTTGTTCAGGTTTTATGGAGTTTCATGAATGCAAAAAAGGATCAAAGTGGAAATCCACAAGAATGGATGTACTTGAAGGTGCGGGTGCTGATGGTGGAGGAGGGAAGCCTGGTGTCTGTTCAGATCCTTCACTCCATTCTCAGCATGCTTACCAAACACTCAAAACTCCAGAAGTTCATCATTTTAGGTAAAGGCAAATTGCATGTATGACAGACGATAGAAATAAACAGCTATTGAACTTGATTCATTTGTTTTATGTCTGCAGGAGATGTGCGGCAACTGCCCAGCATCGGGCCTGGAAGCACGCTGTGCGATCTGTTTGAAGGACTCCAGAAGGTCCGTTGGGCCATTGAGATGCGGACCAACCATCGTGCAGAATCTGAGCTCATCGTCAGAAATGCTGTACTGTGAGCAGATAGTTTGTACTCTGAAACTTTAAAGAGCTTTCCAGAAATGTGTGTATATAGCCTCTCCCAGCTTTGGTTCCTTAGTGGTTTGCAGACTGTTGTGTGTGTATATGTTTTTATGCAATATGAAAAAATGTTAATGCTAATTCTTGTTTAATAACAATGACCATTATTATACAATTATTATACAGACGGTTTTTGTTATTTCCACAAACTTTCAGCATCTCAGAGATGGGTAAAAGAATGTCTTACCATCCACTGGAGTTTGATGCCATTATTAAAATGACAAATCCCTCCACAGTGCCGTCTGACAAAGGGTTCAGCTTTTGTCCAAATTAGTGAGAAAAATGATGGTAAGTGAGCCGTTTACAACACATTATTGCATGACATGTTATAATTGGAATGGCATGAAATGTTTTGCACTCAGGTCATATATGCTACATACTGAAGAATTGTATGTAATTGTTTCCTGATAGATTTATACATTGTGCCTCAGATGCAAAACTAGTTTAGCCAATTGGAAGAGCTTACGTTGCCCATGAAGGAATTACGAATTAAATTATTTGTTGATTACTGTTGGAAAATGTTAAAGTTGTCTCCGCTCTAATGAGCGAATCTGGAATTGAAATATTTATTTGATGTGCATTGTAAATATGTTTTTGTGCTTAGCTCTCGAGGAAGCCATTGAATTCTTACTCGAGAAAGCTCCTGGACTCAAAGATCATAGATCATCACAGATTGTGGCATTTATGAGGTAAGACCTCATTCAAAGATTTGTAAATATAGTGATATTGAGGTTAAGATATTGAGGAAATCTTAAATCACATTAGACAGAATTAATTATTACATTTAATTCATTTTTGTTGCTCAAAGGGAAACATAAAACGTGGAAACAACCATATGTAAACAGTATGTTGCTCACTGATGAGGATTTTTAACACTGATCATCACTGCTCCAATTTCAAACACCCAATTTGGCTCACTTTGTTATTGCCTACAACTAAAAAACTTGCATCACAACTAAGTGTAATTGGTCCTAAATGAGTGAGCTGTATGGTAACCTAGAATTATTGCTTTTGCTTACAGGAAGGACTGTCAGGAGATCAATGAGCTTTGCTGCAATCATTATTCGCATCATTCTACAATGCAAGTAAAAACCTAATACTTCCACTTTTACTACCTTCATTTGTTCTCTTTTTAACTATGTATTTGATTTCCTTTTAGGACTCGCGAAAAAAAATTCAGTTTTTAAATGGGGGATAAAGTTTGCTGCTCAAAGAATGGCTACATCTCAGATAAAGATGATGAGAACATGCAAGAAGAGCCTGCATATGATGCTGCTGGAACTTCCCAAGATATTCCAAGTACCCAAAGAAAAAATTAACGGATGAAAGAGAACAGAGAAAGAATGTGCAACAGGGAAATTTTCTTCATTATAGCGGTGAAGTGTTTTGTGAAAAATGTCTTGATTTGATGCTTTATTGTGGTTTTGCAATGCCAAAAAGCCTTTTAATCTGAAATATCTGATATTAAAGTAAACTGACATTTGCTAGGACTTGAACTTGTGAACATTTAGAGCAACTACTTGAATTTGGTTGGTGCATTTTTTTTAATGATATTTTATAACCAATCACAGGATGTAACTGAGGTGGATATGGGAGCAAGATGCAAAACAAGGTACTTGACACTAGATGATAAAAACAGCCGTGTGGTGACTTCTAACTACAGTGAGCTACAGAGAGCGTGTAAACTGCGCCATGCTTGGGCAAGAACCATTCACACCTTTCAGGTTGTTACGGGGCTGACAAGATGTGAGACGTGCGGATCCATATGCAAGCTTTATTCACATCAGAGGAGGTCAGAAACACAGGCAGGGTCAAACAGGTATATGACGGGCAAGACACAAGAATAGTCCTAGGGCTAGCGTAGGTCAACGATAAGCAAACAGAATCAAAAGGGGCACGACTAGATGCGAGAGGCAATGAAAATGGAAAGGGTGACCTCTGATGGCTAGCAGACGGAAGTTCATGGACCGGATTCGTGACACAGCTGGCAGCATGTATACACTGCAGTGACGGTCAGAAGCGCACGTATGTGGTGGGTAGAGAGCGTAAGCTAAAAAGAGCCATCGTGAAAAAGATCACCCCTCCCAACACACGATTGCGAGGCCGTGTCAAGGAGATAGTTGCTCAGCAAGGTCCTAAAGACTCTTTCGCTCAATCTGACTGCAGACAGAGTCAAGTGGAGACCCCTGTGAATCATGGGCCTTCACAGTCCACACCAGGGGCCTCAAAGCGGCCTACTCAGTCAGACCCCTGCACTACACCGAGCAAACTTATGAAGGTAACAGAGTAAAACATCTGTAAATAATGAAAAGTACACTGATAATTGCTTTTAACATTCTGTGACCTGCTCTTGCTCTAGCAAACCACTTCAGAAGAGCCTCTGTTAGACAGCGCAAGCCCCAAATCTCACAGCGAGGAGCTTCCTTGAGAAGATAAGCATTCTCACAAGGAACTTGTATGGAGTTAATTATGAATGATTTTCAATTACAAAGCAGACAGAAAGGGTAGTGGCATCAACCAAAATCTGAGACCACACTGATTCAAGATCTAATTTAAACCTGGAAATACAAATATTCAGGAATTTGAAAAGCTATTAAAACAAATATGCTGTAAATTGAACGGAAGCTGTTTAAGATTCTGCACTATTTCTAATTCATGTCATTATATAACAAGTTTTCTATTTAGTATTGTTAACTTTCTGAAACTAGTTAGACTTAACAATGTGTTTGTATAATTGGTTGTTATTGACATTAGCAGTGCCAAATATTAATCATGCGATCAATGTGCTTTCTGTGTTTTTTTTAAAGTTTGAATTATGCCTTATTTCCTTTTTATTATTCATCAAGAACATATTACAATATCATGTATTGTTCTCACTTCTGCATCCTCATCTATTCTACCTTTTGACTGTAGACACTAATTGTTTTTGATGGCCTGTTTTGTTTTATTGTTACTTTAAGCCTGAAGCGTGTAATGGCATGTGCACGTCTAACATTTTAACGCAATTATCAATCCATACTGATTAGGAGTAGTTAAAATAATTTCTGACATATTTGATCTATACACTGGTATTTCACGCAATCTTTGATGATAGGTCTGTTGACGCAGCACGCAAACTGCGTGACTTATATTTTGGCGTGATGTGATTGGCTGTTGTTGACAGTGTCATGGGTCAAGAAATGAACCTCGAACTGCCGAAACCTAACGTTAACTTAACTGACTTTAGTCAGCACGAGTCGACATGGCGCTGCAGAGTCCCACCGCTGGATTTAAAACCATAACTGGTTACATTTTACCAGAACGTCACGCTGTACAGTCAAACCAAGAAGACGTTTCAGAAAGTGAAGAGGAAGAGGAGGGAATACAGCCCGAGTTTCTGGACATGAAAGAGATGGACTGTGTCTCATCTGGGGGAAACATGTTTAAGTCTTCCGTGTCAGCGTCAAAAGAAGGTAGAACAACACATTTACTTACAAACGTTTGTTACTCTTTGGTTGTGTTTTGGTTTTTGAGCAGATGAAACCGTTTTTGCAGCAGTATCACTAACCTAACAAGTAAACATAGTTGTGTATAGAAAATACATAAAACATGTTTACAGTTTACTTTGCTGGACATAACCATGTTTACATTTTTCAGGGTTATTTTACATTGTCATAAGAAACAAAGTATCAATTTTCGCACTTTCGGTGGTAATTTGGGAGCAAAAGTATTCATAAGTTATAATACAAATTTTATACTTTTTGCATTTTATATGATCTATTCGCGTGGACTGTTGCCTTGTATGACATTTTGTTTGTCACTTTCAAGCATGTTTGCTTAAGTTGTAATTTATTCTCTAAAATTGTTATTATATTTTCCTATATTGTAAAATAATTGTATTTAAAAGCTATAAAGTTTTATATTTTGAATTACCTGTGAACGCCAAAATGAGTATGGCACATCACTGACCTGCAAGTAGTGATATATTTATTTTTCATTTACATCGTTACAAGTAACAAAGTAAACCTATTTTGCAAACATAATCATATTTACAGGTTACAAGCAAAAGAAGCCAGTTATCGTATTTAATTTACAGATTGTTGTTAGTAAAAACAACCATGTTTAGTACAATTCACACTGTTATGTCTAATCAGTTTACACTGTTTCAATTAAAATCAACTTATTGTGTCTCACAGAAGTGAAGCTTATATGAAACACACACACTCTCTCTCTCTTTCTCTCTCTCTCTCACACACACACACACACACACACACACATAGTCTTTGTTTAGAGACCTAAATGCTTCATGCATGTCTTATCCTCTTCTTTTGCAGTGCCATTCATGGCTGGTAATAAGATGTACCAGGTTGAGGGCCGTTTTCCCCTCCAGGATCCCTGGTGGGAAGTAACCTGTACAATTCGCCAAGGCCTGCACAAAAATGTAGTCAAAGGCTTCCCCTTCTACAGGCTCCGCACTGATCTAGGATCAGAGGGCCGGTCACTTGTGTCTCTTTTTCTTACAGCATGTAAGGCACAACCTGACTTTGTTAACATGTTTATAGAGTGGTTGCCCAATGACAGACACGTGGACCCTGCCAATGTGCTGGACGTCCTGCAGGATTTTGAAGATTCATCTCCTGAGAATAAAGCTGTGGCTGAACAGCTCAAGTCAAAAGTCAATCACTCAGGTTGGAAAATGTATACCATGTTTGCTTATATAATTTGCATAACACATAAAACAAAGCTGTCTTTGAAGTGATTTTTGGTAGAATATTACATTTTGCAATATGCAATTCGAAAAATATGTTTTATCATAAAACAAAGGCACCGAAGACCCTGGGCACAGCCAGATCTGAAGTAACTTCCTAGACCTTAAAATAAACTTCTGCATGCATATTTAAGTATGAAAAGGTGAAACTGAAGTCATAACCACATCCTTGTTCTTTAAGTTTCTTGGACACATGTGAGAGTTGCCAGCTTGTACCCTGAAATCATGAAATACTTACCAACATTGCTGCCAGGCCAGTTTATGGACATAATAAACAAAGGAAGGATAGAACACATGCCGGAAACTTCCAAAAAAGATGATCCTACTACACAAGAACAGAACAATACAAATGTATTGGCCAAACTTGAGGAGCTCATTAAGACTGATGTTTGGAAGTTGGGCTTCAGTTATGTAAGATTGCTTCCTGGGATCCTGGTTGTTTGGTTTTAAATCGTAAGCTCACATTATTTCCTTCACTGTTTGGTATTGTTTAATATGAATATTTGTCAAACTTTTTCAACAGATCATGTTTAAAGAATTACACCTGATCCGGTGTGAAGCACAAATGGAGGCCTTCAAGCATTGTCATTTATTTTGGAGTATCCCGGTGGTGCAACGTAACGCTTTGCTGTTGTATACAGAACTGAAGAGACACTGCAGAGCGACTGGCAGCACATACGCTGACCGCGAGAAGCTGGAGAAGAAGATATCGCGTGAGACGGGACATCAGGGTGCCTGGGAAGCTTTAGGTTTTCTTGTGGAGCAGGGGGTTCTGATAAGAGAGGGCGACAGGGTGGCACTTCGGAACCTCTTTGGCTACGAGAAAGGCATTGCTGAATTCTTAAGGGCCCTGGTTGAGGGAGACCCCTGGAAGATCCACTTGGATGTGAGAGAGGTTCTTCGCGAAGCTCACCTGGATAGATTAAGGGCGAAGGCCCGTGAAAAACACAGTATGACTCGTTTGAGGATATCTAAGGCTGATGCAAAAACATCAGTCTCAGAAGCACAAAATGACATTGTTCAGGAGGTTGGGTTTGAGCAGATAGATCCTGCTTTTGCCCAGCCTGGTACTTTAAGCATGGTCCACAGTGGAGGAATGCCAACATGTAATTCTCCTCAGTCCTATGAATTTACAAAGCTCACTATTAAAGAGGAAAGTATAATTTCAGACTCCTCAAATGACTCCACCTACTTTGATATTGATCCCTCTACTATAGAGTTAGACCCTGATCAATTGCGAGCAGCAGAAATGATGTGCGCCAACCCGGTGACGGTTATCAGTGGGAAAGGGGGTTGTGGGAAAACCACAGTGGTCAGCCTGGTGTTTAAGGCGGCCATGGAGCAACAGACAAGTGACAGGGAAGAGGTGCTGAAGGCCTGTGAGGACTTTCAGAATGACTCTCAGGGCTCCAGTAATGGGCTTCTGTCAGATGTTCACGAGGAGAAAAAAGAAAGTGAAGGGAGTGACAGTGATGAAAAGCCTGTTGAAGTTCTCCTCACTGCTCCTACGGGGAGAGCTGCTTCACTTCTTACCAAGAGAACAGGTTTCACTGCTTATACTATGCACCAGGTATAGTCCGCCTAACCTAACATAACCATGGCCGGACTTACCATTGGGCTTGAGTGGGCTGCAGCCCGTGGGCCCCGCCTTTTAGGGGGCCCCGCCTTTGCCCGTTTACGTTTGTTTGATTTGTTCGTTATATGCCAGTCAGAATTCAGAAATTATTAGCCGCATTTCCACTGCGCATGCAAGATCTAAACGGGCCAGCCGGGGGCACAGCTTACAACTACGACCTTCGAGGCCACAATCAAACAGCATAAACTGGTATTTATGATTATTTCACAAAGAAGGACACACGTATTGAATCGCGTCTGCACCGATTGGTTTGTTATCACATAGCTACTTTAACCCTCATCCGTCCCTCAGGTCATTTTGACCCGCCACTGGAAAAGCATGGAATTTACGAAAAAACTGTGGATTTTTTTAATTTAATTTTGTCACACTTGAGCATGGAGCGCACAAAAAAAATATAGTCGATTCGAGAATTCTAAAAAAAAGTATTACACCCACAAGTATTACATTCATTTTGACCCGGCCATAGGAATGAATGGAACGTCCGAAAAAAACAGAATTTTTTCGTTTATTAGATTTTTTTGACTATACAAAATCTGACACAATCCAGAAAAGATGCATACCCAAACAAAGAGCAGAGACTGCAGAATGTCCTCAATGCACAAAAAACTCACATATCCGCACACACACTCCCATTGAAACACATTATAGCTTGTATGATGTTTCTGCTGGGAAATGACTGTCATTGTGAATTTTTTTTTGACTTAATATGCAAATGTTCATAAAAATATCCAGAATGTAATGTGAATAAAATAAAAAATCACCAAAAAACAAAACCTGCATAATTTTTTTTTTTAAATGGACCTTTCTGTAAGCTTTCTGGACCAAAAATAAAATTAGGGTCATTTTTGGCCTTAGGATCATTTTGATATAACTTTTGTTATAGGTTCAGGAGGGACGGATGAGTTAAACAGCTCCATTAAGCCTTTAGCCCCAAAGAGCGCACATTTATATGTTCACACCTCTTTTCTTTACAGAGGAGGATTCTATATTACTATATTAATGTTCCGCTAAATTATGCGATCATCTGATGAGTTTTGAGCGCTCTCTCTTATCTTACTGCCATTACACATAGTGGGGAAGAAATGTCATCAAAATGATTTTAAATTTAAAAAAAAATAGCAATTTAATGAGTTTTTATAACAAAGCTATGCCTATGATATAGGACTTAGCCTATCACACAAACGAGAGTCTTGTTTTTTTTCGAATATCTGCACGATCGCAAATGTACAATAAGCAACAACTTACAGAGTAACTTTCAGACACAAAATTCAGTTTTGCTCCGTCAGAAAGAAAATGGAACAAACAGCAGAACCGCTGTATCTCTGAACAACAGTGTTTTGTTCCTCAGCGTTACACGGACCAGCACATGATTCAATCAGGCTATAAGTACAGTCCTTTGCAAAGTTAAATGAATCAGCTTTTTAAAGGAATCGGTTGATTCAACTCACTCATTAAGACAGTCACTTGCTGCCACCTACTGTCGGTTGTGGTTTCATAATTAAAAAAGTATCATTTCATTTTTGCAATCATTTAATATTTCTACATTAAAATGTTATATTTAAACTTAACATTTATGCACAATCCATCTATGAATTTTGTTGATAGTGATTTCATTTGATTCATTCGACTAAAAATGTTATACTAGATACAATTTGATGATAACCTTACCTGACTTAATACACATTACATTTCAACACTTACACTACATAACATTTCATAACTTAATTTTACATAACTTCACATGACTTAATACATAACATTACATTTCAACTTAACATTTTAAAACAACTTTACATACAACTTTGTATTTCACAACTTTGCATAACATTTTATAACAATGTCTTAAACTTAACTTAAACACAACAACTTTACAATACATAGTATTTCACAACATTGTATGACTTAAACTTTACATAACATTTCAGAACTTAATGTTAATTATTGTATTACATTTGTTTTTACAGTGGAACATTTTATACCATAATGTTACATAAACATAACTTTACACTACATATTTCATGACATTACATGATTTAAACCACATTTACATTTACTTAACACAACTTTAGAGTATATGACATAACATTACACTTGTATGGGCTTTGTCGCTTTTGCTGTTTTAACATATCTTCAAATAATATATATTGTGCAAATAATATAAATGTTAATTTAATTTTAGCATCTTGTAACAATTGCTATAATTATTTTGTATTAGTTACATATATCACACACACACAATAAAAAAAATCCCCCTTCTTTCAGGTTTTATGGAGTTTCATGAACACAAAAAAAGATCCAAGTGGAAATCCACAATCATGGAAGTTCTCAAATGTGCGGGTGCTGGTGGTGGACGAGGGAAGCCTGGTGTCTGTTCAGATCCTTCACTCCATTCTCAGCATGCTTACCAAACACTCAGAACTCCAGAAGTTCATCATTTTGGGTAAAGGCAAATTGCATGCATAATACTTTCTTATTTAGGGCTTATATGCAGTGTGTTTTATCGACAACATTATTCTACAGCTTAAGTAACTTTTTGTATTACTATTAAACTAAGAAAAATATTTTGTGTCTGCAGGAGATGTGAGGCAACTGCCCAGCATCGAGCCTGGAAACACACTGTGTGATCTGTTTGAAGGTCTCAGGAAGATCCAGTGGGCCATTGAGATGCAGACCAACCATCGCGCAGAATCTGAGCTCATCGTCAGAAACTCTGGACTGTGAGCAGATAGTTTGTACTCTTAAATGTTTTATGGGGTTATACAAATTTATACAAACTTCCTGGTTTTAGTTCCTTAGTGGTTTGCAGACTGTTGTGTGTGTTTATGTAATATAAACAAATGTTATTTCTCAAACCTTAGTTTATTAATTATACTGTTGTTATTTCCATAAACTTTCAGCATCTCAGAGTTGGCTAAAAAAAGGCATTACAGTCCTCTGGAGTTTGATGCCACCATAAACATGATGAGACCTTCCAAAGTGCCATCGGACAAAAGGTTTATTTTTGTCAAAATCTATGGTGAAAATGATAGATTTGGTAAGTGAGCAGTTATGAAATATGTGAATTTTTTGTTGGATTTATTATTTTTATAACACTTAATTAATATAAGCTAGGAGCTGTTGAATGATGTGTGGTATTTACACTGTGACTGTGCCTCAGAAGGACATCCACTGCATCTGCAGTAAAGGTGTGAACCTAACAGCCCATACAATTAGAATAACAAAAGAAACACACTTTGGTTTCTGTATGTCTAGCATATTGCAGGTTTTCAATGGAGAGTTCCTGAAAATACACTTCCTGTCGTCTGTGACACATTCGACACTTTGTTTGGGTCATGATCAATCAATCCAGAAGATACACAGCCATCTTCAGTACATTTCAACCCCCACAAGCACAATTAGAGTTTGAATACAATGTTGAAGTACCAAATTAAAAAAGGAAACGATCTACTACTGTCCAATAACAAAAGCTCTTACTTGACATCATTGCATGCTTTGACATTTTTTAGTATTCACTACAATAAGCAAAAATAATTTTTTGTTTGATGCATGTTTAATCATATTTTTGCTGCACAGACCTCCAGGACGCCATTACATTCTTACTTAATGAAGCTCCTGGACTAGAGGGTGATAAATTGTCACAATTTGTGGCTTTCAGGAGGTAAGACAGATTTAGCTTTGTCACACTATGCTGAGATGTCAGTCTTTTTCAGCAAATGTTGATCTTGAAGTTAAAGTTATTCTAATTGTTCACAGGATGGACTGCGAGTTGATCAATGAGCTTTGTTGCAAGCATTATTCTAAACATATCACAAGGTGTGTAAATCGAAAAATTAGTTGTCTTAGAACTAAATAAGCAGGACACTTAATTTGACTTATATTTTTATTAATATTAACATTATTTATTTTTCACTGTTTCTGTCGGTTACATTTGCAGCGGAATATTTTGGTTTTAATATTCAGTTTCATTCATTTCAGGACTCCCAAAAACAAATTGAACTTTCAACCAAAGGATAAAGTTTGCTGCACTAAGAATGGCTACGTCACAGAACATGAGAAGAAAGAAGAAGGGACTTCCTTTGATACTGCCAGAGCTGTACATGATAGCACTAGATCTTCCCATGATAATGCCGGAAACCAGAGTCAAAATGAACAGATAAAAGAGAAGAAAGAGCGACTGTGCAATGGGGAAATTTTCTTTATTAAAGATGTACTGATGTTTAATTTATCAATTTATATATGCATTTATTAATAATCCCAAAATAATGGCGTGAGAAAATAGTATTTTTATGTTTCTAAATTCTAAATGCTTGGTTCTGAGTAAGTGCATGAGTAATTATTGATTAATTTAAATTGTTCTTGTTATTCTACACCAATCACAGGATGTGACTGAGGAGGAAAGCTGGAAAAAGACACGCTACCTGACACTAGATGATGATAACGGGCGTGTGGTGACTTTTAGCTACAGGGAGCTACAGAGAGAGTGTAAACTGCGCCATGCTTGGGCAAGAACCATTCACACCTTTCAGGTACTGATGCTTTTTGTTCATCCACAGCCCCGTTCACACCTGACATTAGGATTTGTCTTAGCTTCATGCAGCTAATTGGTTTTCTCACTTTAGGGCTCAGAGGCTGAAACTATTGTGTACATTCTTGGAGACAGCAGAGCTCAAAACTGGCAGCACGTATACACTGCAGTGACACGCGGCCAGAAACGCGTGTATGTGGTGGGTAGAGAGCGTGATCTAGAAGGAGCCATCAAGAGATGGATCACCCCTCGTAACACACGGTTGTGCCATTTCGTCACAAACGTAGTTTCCCAGCAAGGTCCGGAAGACTCTTTGACTCAGTCTGCCTGCAGTCAGAGTCAAGTAGAAACTCCTGTGAACCACAATTTCGGGCCTTCACAGTCCACACCAGTGGCCTTGCAAACCCCCAGTCGCCCACAGAAGCACTCCAGACCTTCATGCGCACAAAACCTCTACGAAAGTGGACAAAGCCATCCAACTTCAAATAGCTCTTTACAAGAGGATGTGGCATTCAGTCAAACCTACTCTTGGTCGCCTATGGACAGTTGCGCTGAGCCAAGCAAAGTGCAGAATGAAAATGCATCCGAATCATCCAATCATGTTGAAGATGCAACGCTGTTAGCGGCAGTCAGCTGTTCCTCGAATGAATGCAGTAGGGGCTCTAAACGGTTAATTCTTGTGGACACCTGCAGTACGCCGACTAAACTACCAAAGGTAACAGATGCACTAGGACATCTGGAAATGATCAACAAAAAATGTGCCATTATGTAACTGTGATCAAAAATACAATTTTACTGGATGTTTGAAAGATGAAGATCTCAGATCACAGAGTTCAAAGCTTTATTTGCTATGTGCACATTGGTGCAGTGGCATGATTGTGCAGTGACAAAGAAAAATATCCAATGTATTTACACAAATAAATGATTAAATAAGCAAATAAATAAAAAGTGCAAAAAGTTGCCCGTGTAATACCAATTCAATGTGCAGAAATAACCATTTTAATGGGATGATGTGTCAGATCTTTATGTTCATAATTATAAAACTCATTGAGAATTAATTTCAAAATATGCAATATAGAAAGTCCATATGATATTATTGGAAATGTAAGTCCTATTCTAAAGATTTTTAGCTGAATGTGCATAACATTCTGTGATCTCCTCTCCAGCAAACCACTTCTGAAGAGTCTCCTCTGGGCAGCTCGAGGCTGAAGCTTCTGTCCATTACCAGTCCCAGCTCCAAATCCAGCAGGCAGCTTTTCCCAGACAGTACATGTTCTCACAGGGAACAGCCTTAAGAGTGGTCAGTGCCAGACCCAACATGCCAAAGCTGGAAATAACTTTAATTAATGCGGGTTGTTTGGTTTTTCAGGATTTGTATGAGTAAGAGTTAGCTTTTTACGTAAGGATTAATTATGAATATTTTGCTAATTTAACTCTTCTGTTATCTAAAATGGTACTTTATTGTATAACAATAATCATAAGAAAAAAAAGCTAAGAGTAACGATATCCTATTAATGAACTCTTTATAATTAAAGAATGATAAAATATGAAATCTGAAGGGCCATTTTACCATACCTATCCAAGAAAATGTTATCATATGTTGATCAGATTTGTAATTGAAGTCATAACTTGTCCTTGTTTATTACCATGTTATTTAAAAACATTTTTATGTATTTATCTCATATATTACTGGCAAGCATGTTAAGGTACAAACATGTTATGCGGGATAAAAAAAATAAAAAAAAATCCCTTCTGTGTTTATATAATGTAAATCACAAATCTATCAGGGCCAGGGTAATGTTTTGATTCTAGGCCGAAGAGTCCAGGAGGCCTTAATATCTGTTAGGGTGCACTTTAAAATCTCATTAAGGTTTGATCGGTCATTGTATTGTTATTGTTGGCATAATTTCACTTTTTATTGAAAGCCTGAAGCATGTGACAGGTTTATTTCAAAAGCTCACTTAACAATAACAATAAACCAGACTGAACAGTAGCATTTTTTGTTTGTTTCTTTATTCAAGTTCAAATGCATGCTTGATCTATGTATATGAACCATTCACTCATGTTTCTCATCTTGTCCTTTAAACTTCATCCTATCTATCTTCCATCCAGCTTCCATTTCTTTGTTGGATATTAAACGTTTAAAATGTAAGTTCATTTCAAGCTACATGGGTAAATCATGGAAATGTTAGTTACTTTAGGAGTGTAAAAACAGCATATATATATATATATATATATATATATATATATATATATATATATATTTATCTCTCTTTTTAAAGGAATATCCCACTGCTCTAGTGTGATTTTCGAGCTTTCACACAGTATATACAAAAAACGTCACCATTCTACTTCTTGCGTAGCTGTGAAATGATTGGCTGAAAGTGTTCTGCGGCGACGTATCAGTAACGAGCAATCCCGGAAGACGTGCAGTATCGTCAAAGCTGTCGGTGTGCGGTGCTATTACTTGTCAACTCAACTCTATTGTTTTCAATTCATTGCATTCAGTAATTTATATTTCATCATGTCCGCTAGGAATCCAGGAATGCATCTTGGTGAGTCGTTTTAGATTGAATTCTATCGTATTAACATATTTTCCAAACACGTGGAAGTTACCATGTGATAGTGGGAGCATTTAATTAAACGGGACGAATTGGCAACAGACATGGGTGTAATGTAGTCTATACGCTGAACACTGAACATGTCAAGTGCAAAGTATATTCTTAGTGTTATGTGTAGTTAATTTTTAACTCCATCTGACCAGCTATGAACTCACTCACTCACTCAAACTTCTAGTGGCCTTTGTAGTTAATTTGAAATCTTATTCTGGATTTCTTTCTTCCTTCCATATATACAGTTGATTTAAAACTATATACAGATGAAATGCACTTAATGAATCTCACATGACTTATGTGTCTCGTGACTAACATTGAGCAGAGGGAAAAAACAAGACACAACTGACTTTAAAACGTCTTTTATTATTTATTCTGGCCTTGTTTTAGATCTGGAATGGGTGTCAAAAGTCAGAGTCAACACTCAGGCTGTTCTTAAACGAGCTCAGCAGATTCAGGGACACAAAGTTGCTAAAAAACAGTGGCAGGTAAACAGTTTACAGTTTCCTGATTTTGCTTTATGCCAGCTCAGATACATCTTTATTGACCTGCATTGTTATTGTAGGCTGCCTGGATGCTGAAGGCCGTCACATGCATTGATCTGACGACCCTCGCTGGTGACGATACACCTTCCAATGTCCATCGACTCTGTATGAAGGCCACACAGCCGATCCGTCATGATCTGCTGAAGAGCATGGACATGCACGACAAAGGTCTGTCAGAAAGGTGCCTCTGTCTGGAGGATTTTTTCATAATTTTGTCACATCACCCCTCTTGGTGCACTTGAATGACTGATTTCACATCTCTGTTACCTTCTGTTACTAATCTTGCAGTTTGCAATGTAAAATTAGATTTTTTTTCTCCCTTAAATGTAACTAAAAATGCATTTTAAACCATTTAAATCTATTAAACAAATTACTGTTAGAAGCATTTTAGATCATAATAACTGACAAAGCAATTCAGAAATTTGGATCCATGCAGATTACTAGTACATTTAATGATACTATATGATACAGCTTAATGACAAATAAAAAGATTCTCTCTCTCTCTCTCTCTCTCTCTCTCTCTCTCTATATATATAATACACTACTGTTTAAAAGTTTTCAATTTCAATTTTCAAATGAATGTTATGAATAATTTAAATCCACATATTAGAATGATTTCCATTGGATCATGTGACACTGGAGTAATGGCCGCTGAAAATTCAGCTTTGCATCCCATGAATTAAATTTTTTTTAAATTAAAATAGAAAACAGTTATTTTAAATTGTTACAATATACAATATTACACTTTTTCTGTGTTTTTAAATCACTAACAGTCTTACCATGCCTCAAACCTCTGAATGGGTATATATTTTTTATTTATGATATTATTTTATTTAATATATTATATTTTTTGTATTTATGGTTTTCAGTGTAAATAACATAGGCTTGTCACTGTAGATCCGCCCACAAGAGGGAGACAAAGCTCTTTTCACAGAAGTTGATTGACTGAAGAGATCAGAGACTTCCAACAATTTAAATTCTACTGTTTGCTAAATAAAACAATAGTATACAACATAATAAACATTAGACATTAACAGGAATTTTACATTTTCATGCTGTATTTTTATGTATTTAAAAAAAAATTGTCTTTACGTTAAATTCAATTTAGTTTTCTCCGACTTGAACACTGTGTGTGTGTATGTGCATGATTTCAGGAATCACGACTGCAGCAGTCTGTGTGTACCCATCACGGGTGGCTGATGCTGTGAAGTCTCTTAAAGCAGCTAACTCTAGTCTTCCTGTTGCATCTGGTAAGACATTTGACACTGCTTATCTTAAAACACGTTTAATTTCTTCTTCAGACATCTTCCCAGAGAGGGTGCAACCGCATTGTCTCACCTCACGCGCTCTTTTTCTCATTCTCTTTGCTTCAGTGGCCACTGGCTTCCCTGCTGGACAGACGCCATTGAAAACCCGTCTCGCGGAGGTACAGATGGCCGTGGAGGATGGTGCTACGGAGATCGATATTGTCATAAACCGGACTTTGGCACTCACTGGGCAGTGGGCAGGTGTGTGTAACAAGGGTACTAAAGGAATTCAGATACTACTCATACTAAAAAAAACTCCTTTTGCTGTTGGTTTAAACTGGTCTCTTCCAGACTGACATTGGCCATAACCATCAGCATGATTTTCTTTAGTTCTAGTTTGATAGTTGGTGAACATACAACTGGATGACAGTTAATGTTAGTCTCTATGATCTCCTCAGCCCTCTATGATGAGATCCGGCAGTTCAGAGAGGCCTGTGCAGATGCCCATATGAAGACCATCCTGGCAGTGGGAGAGCTGGGAACCTTCACAAACGTCTACAAGGCCAGTTTGGTGTCAATGATGGCAGGTGAGAACGTTAAACGTAGATCTCAGAAGTGCAATTTAGTTGTAAATTGCAGAAATGGGATTTCTGTAGGAAACTGCTTGCAGACGTACAGCCTTTAAATTAGAAACCATAAAAGATAGATGAATAATTATTTTACGTTGTCATTTTTAGTAAGTCATTATCAAGAGTTTTTCAAAAGTTTGTTTATTAATAGAATGTTAGAGGCCTGTCACATCTCTTTCACCGTCTTGTACCATGAGCATTTCGCGCCATTGCGCTTTGAGCTTGATTTGCTTCAATTATATTAATATTCCTTACAAAATATACGTCAAGGTCAGGGATCATGATTCAATGCATTTATATTTATTTAATATATTTTTTTTGTAATTTATATAATTTAAATGACCATTGTCTATTATGATTTTCTTTCTTTCTTTCTTTCTTTCTTTCTTTATGCCAAACAACTTGATAAGGTTTTCTTTTTTTCTATATTATGATATCAGTACAGTTGTATCAATCTGACATTTTTAACTTCATGCCAAGAAATATATAAATTTTAATTTTAATTCAGAGATGAAAAACATATTTTTTCTATTTTTTGTAACATTATCCATTATTCTGTAATTAAGGCTTTAGTTTTTTATTATAAAATATAGTTTAGTTAAATATTTATTTTTAACATAATTGTCTAACATATCATTTATGTAATATATAATTGTTTAAGTGATCATTATCCATTACTGTGTAATTACGGCTTTTATTATTTATTAATTTATTTTTTACCATATTGTTTAAATTTCTACCTTTTGTCAGAAGAACACAAAAATTAAATCTGCAAAAATGTCAACAATTCTGTGTTTTTCTGTCAATATGGGGTGCTGTGTGTACATTAATGAGGAAAAAAATGAACTTAAATGATTTTAGCAAATGGCTGCAATATAACAAAGAGTGAAAAATTTAAGGGGGTCTGAATACTTTCCGTACCCACTGTATATAAATTTTAATTTTAATTCAGAGATGAAAAACATATTTTTTCTATTTTTTGTAACATTATCCATTATTCTGTAATTAAGGCTTTAGTTTTTTATTATAAAATATAGTTTAGTTAAATATTTATTTTTAACATAATTGTCTAACATATCATTTATGTAATATATAATTGTTTAAGTGATCATTATCCATTACTGTGCTTTTATTATTTATTAATTTATTTTTTACCATATTGTTTAAATTTCTACCTTTTGTCAGAAGAACACAAAAATGTTTTGTGTGTCTGTGCAGTAACCGCATTCACCAGCAGGGACTGACTTCACAAGCTAACCAGTTAAATCTGACCTCCTTGTATGATCAATTCTAAGAGTAAGGCTTGCCTTAGCAAGTTTGATAGTTTGATCTTTTGCCCACAGCGTGGCGCCATTGCTCATCCATTCTGCTCTCCGCATCCAGATGTCCAAACACACACACACACACACACACACACACACAGAGCAGGCCAGTGACTGTATGCTTAAATAGCCATTGCACATTAAGCCGATTACTGTACCCAATTGTCAGCGGCTCTGATAGGGATCGTTATTAAAATGCATTGCTTTTGTCGCTGTGCTCATTCCTTAATCTCCCCTTGTTCCTATGAATTGCGTATGAGGTTTCTGAAATTGAATGATAATTTCACCTATTAATCTGCTACGCCGGAGCTATTTTACTCCCACGCTCTCCGGCAGTGTCCCCCCGCTCCGCCGCAAATGAATAGAGCTTCATTACTGTCGCCTGCGTTTAATAACCGTTATCCATTATCTTGTAATTAAGACTCCCCAGAACGAATCTCAAGGATTATGTCAGTTTGAGAGAGAGGGTGAGATATAGAGTGTTGGAGGAAAGGGGAAGGGGTGGAAAAAAGAGTGGAAAACACATAGAACGTATCTTTAATGAACTGGAAAATGTTCATCTTGTTCTGTGCGGTAATGAACAGTCATTAGACATGAGGAAGGGCAGGCGGGACTTGGGTGCTGGGGGTTAGAGCTGGTCCACAGTTTGTGCTTCATCCATTAGAAGCGTCATTTTATCTTCTATTTTTATCGGAACGCTGATAAACCGTAATTGGCTATGAAGGAGAAATGAAAGCTCTTGATGAACGAACGCACACCCTCTGCGCCCTGCCGACGGGAACATATGTTCTTGTCTAGCCTCCCCTGCCCTCGCGACTAATGTCCTGTCGGGGTGCAAAGATCTGACGCCTCTCTTAAGTTCTTGAATGGAGATGCTAAAAATGTGCAGGACTTTCTATTTTCAGAGCTCGTTGGAGTGAACTTTGACCTGTCCGTCTGAACAAAACAAGTGTCAGATGGAAGGAATAATTCAATTAGAATTACTAACCAGTGGAGTATGCGGATGCATTTTGACAATTAAAAAACATGTCATGTTCTAAGAAATTAACTTTTCACACTCGCAGTTTTTAAAATCGTATGTATAATTTTCATGAATACTGTCAGCTTGATGAAAATGTCATGTGGTGTAATCCTCAAGTAAAAATTAATAGCATTTTTTTTTTTTTTTTTTTTACAACTTGAATACATGTGATTGTATGCATCTTAATGATTATGTTCAAAAAGGTTTTTAAAACTATAAGGTCAAAATGATTAGCAATATGGTTAGTTCAGGTTGCTAGATGTCATGTGGTGCGACTCCTAAAATACAATGATATTTATCTCGAGATATTTCAAGAAACATGACCTTGAAAAATATCAAATTATTTTAATTAGATATAATGTTTTTTTCTTCTCAAGGTTTTAATTGTTTGGTTTTGATTTGCTTAGATAAATAGAATATTTTCCTTACAACTGGAATACATGTGTGTATATCTTTTTGATTATGTTCAAAAAGTTTTTTAAAAATATTTTTTGAGGTCATATATCAAATTTCGAGGTAGATATCATTGTTTTTGGGAGATCCATCACATGACATTTAGCAACCTGAATTAACCATATTGTGACAGATTCATAAAAAGGTCAAATTATTTGATATTATAAGACTTGTTGACCATTGTACGATATTATGCATGTATACACACACATGCACACCTTTTGGATGATTTGGACAAAGCTATTCAAATAATAATATTTTAATTATTAAATGAATCAAGATTTTAATAATTTTAATAAAGCTTTTAAATATATATACATCAATATAAATTTAGAAATTAAAATAATTGTCTAAATCTGCTTTTTTTGGCCTAAATAAGCATTAAAGTGGACCAGACCTCATGCCAGTAGTCAAAAGGTTTTGTGTCTCCTGTACTTTCTAACCACTAGGATCTGATTTCATCAAAACTTCAACTGGCAAGGAGACTGTCAATGCCACTTACCCCGTTGCCATAGTAATGGTGCGGGCCATCCGTGACTACTTCTTACGGACAGGCTATAAGGTAAAGGTCCCATTGTACCTTCAAATCACCTTATTTTACATAAATCATCCAGCCTGTTGACTGATGCATTTGTTCCTCAGGTGGGTTTCAAGCCTGCGGGAGGCATCCGTACGGCGCAGGAGTCTGTGGTGTGGCTGACCCTGATGAAGGAAGAGCTTGGAGACGAGTGGCTAAATCCTCACCTTTTCCGACTGGGAGCGAGTAGCCTGTTAGCAGACATCGAACGGCAGGTAATTAAACCAACACAGTGTTTCACACTCTCAAAGCTGCTCTATTCTGGCTTCAGATGTGAGAAACTGATAATTACCACCCATTATGGATGGAAACAGTCACTATTCAGGGAGTATGTGTTATGACCCTGGTCTCCTGTGGTGAATAGGATATAGATTAGCCCTTTTATTTATGTATAAATGAGATTATAAATCAGATTGATTTACTGAAGCTGAAGCGGTTTTTTTTTATTATTACAGATTTACCACTACGTGACTGGACGCTATCCTGCATTTCATGAACTTCCCATGGCCTGAATCTGTGAAACCAATGAAAACTGTTCAGATCAGCCAGTGATGTAATGGAAAGATGTCACACCTGTTTATCATATATCTATTAAAATACTGATATTCTGGTCTATAACTCCTCCCTGAACTTCCCGCTGCCCTGTATCTTGTTCTCTCATTGGCTGTAGGTCATCGCCGATGTGTTTTTCAGTCAGAAATCATTGCACACAGCGTGATTGTGAATCGCAGACAGCTCCAGATATTTAGCATGCCAAATATTTCGCGGGGGTCGGCGACGCATCGGCGATTCCCTCAGATCACGTCTTTGATAATTCACACTGCGTGATTGTCACTCGCGGGAAGTAGCACCGATTTGCCTCCGATGTCGGGCATTTGTCGGCGATTTCGCAAAGCCTGTCGGCGAGTGAAAAATCGGCTAAAATCGTGCAGTGTGAACTCGGCATAAGAGGTCAATTATAAAGAAAAGTCATATTGTCTTAAAGGGATAGTTCATAGAAAAGTGAAAATTCTGTCATCATTTACTCACAAGTTGTTCCAAACTTTTAAAGCCCCGTTCACACCAAGAACGATAACTATAAAGATAACGATATTAGCGTCCACACCAGCGAATGATATCGTCTGTTTATTCTAAGCACACATGCGTCTGCCGCTTTAAATTCTTGAGCTCGTTACAGCAGGATGGATTCTGATTGGCTGTCAGTGTTTTATCGTTCATCAGCTGGAAAAAAAATTATTTGAAAGTGATCAGATCGATATCGTTCCTCTGTATCATTATCATTATAGTTGTGGTGTGAACTGTGCTATTCTTTAATATTGAGAATGATTTTTAGAACTATATCTTTATCGTTATCTTTATAGTTATCGTGCTTGGTGTGAACGGGCCTTAAGAATTTTTTTCTTCTGTTGAACACAAAATAAGATATTTTGAAAAATGCTGGTAATCAAACAGTTTACAGTAGCCATTGACTTCCATAGTATGGAGAAAAAAATACAATGGAAGTCAATAGCTACCGTCAATTGGCTACCAGCATTCTTCAAAATAACTTTTTTTTTGTGTGTGTGTGTGTGTGTGTGTGTGTGTGTGTGTTCAACAGAAGAAAGTAACTCATACAGGTTTGGAACAGGTGGAGAGTGAGTAACTGATGACAGAATTTTCATTTCTGGGTGAACTACCCCTTTAAATGAAGTCCAGTATCTATCATAAACTAAGAATATATTTTATTATAATGTAAAAACTTGAGATATGAATGTCTTTTTCAAGTTATATTGTATATTTCAAACCCAAGAACATTTCTGGATTTCTGGATGACATGGTGCAACCTGAACCATCAGAAGTAAAAGTGCTCACTTTACGTCAGTGCAAAGGGCTCTTGCATCACTTTCTCATATCTGCGATTCCCAGCAGTAGTTGTTCCTCAGACAAGCGTACAGATCTCGTAAGCTGCATCTGGGGTTACGCTATCACTGTCCGAGGCTGATGTTATTTGACTTCCTCTGAGCTAATTTCATTAATCAAGAGCTGGATGTCAGAAGTGTGTGTTTGGGATTAATTAAGAGGGGTTAAGAGAGTTTAAATGATCAGATAAAGCTGTGTGCCAGTTAGAGCTTCGTTTGAAGACCGAGAACTTTTTTTTTTCTTCTCCCTCTTTCTTCCTTAATTAAGAGATCTCGGGCCATGCCCTTCACGGGGATGGAGGATAAATGACTGAATTAATTGTGGAATGGGGAATGAGCCCGAGAGGTGCGAGTGGGCAGCGAGAAGGAAACTTCCGTAAATTCAGTCCGAAAACTGGAGCACAAATAGATTTGTATTCACAGAGAAGCGATAAAAGCTATTCTCACAAAAGCTTGATAATACCTGCATAAGCACTATTGTAGGGCTGGTATTAGCATTCCTAAAAGATCCACAAAGCAGCGGGATCCAGAAAGAATCAGCTAATTAATGCTCAGAAAGAATTATTTAGAACTTGATTAAAGCCCAGATTTGAAAGGGAAAAAAGGAAGAAAAAAAATCCTATATATCCTTCTGTCCATTTATCTGTCCTTCTTTTCTTTTGTGTATCCACCCATCCATCCGTCTGTTCATCTGTCCATTTAGTTCTTTCTGTCCACGTATCTCTCAGCTCATCTGTCTGTCTATCTATCTATCCTGCTGTCTATCTTTGTCCTTTCGTCCATCCATCAGTCTGTCCATATATCTGTCTATCTCTCCGTTTGTATATCTGTCTGTCCTTCTGATCATATATCTGTCTATCCTTTTATCCATTCATCTGTCTGTCCATCTGTCCATTTTTCTATCTGTCTGTCTGTCTGTGTCTCACATGTTGATTGGCTGTGCAGCTGATTGTCAGCTGTGTGTTGTGCCTGTGTTTCATTAGCAGTGACTCTGGTAGTTTATGAGGCCACACTGGCAGGGCTGAGTAAGAGTGATGGAGCCCCGGCGCTCCGTCTGGCTCTCCCCACCTCCCTCAGGCCATGACAGATTAGCTTCACTTACATAAAGGCATGTAGATCATCTGCAATCTGGACCCGTGGCCCGTGCCACCAAGCAAGATAACGCTGAGGGATTGAGTTAGCCTTCAGATTGATTCTCCCCTCCACAGACAAACACTTCCTCTCCTTAGCTTTCTTCCCTGTTTTCCTTCTGGCTCTCGCGTCTCTTTTACTCAGTCACGTTCTCTCCTTTAGGCATCGTATCAGCTCCGGTTGTGCTTTGTATTTCAAGCTCATATATAATGTGTGTATGTTTTTCATCTTCGTCCTCCTCTCTACTGGTCCAATACAAAACAGCCCTTTAATCATGCATTCTAAGTCAAAATAAACTAATTTGACTAAATATGTGAAGAAATATGCTATTGTATATTATACAACATTTAAGTGCCATTAAGT